CATTAAAGCACAGCACAATAATTGATGTTCATGATGCCTCAGTTGTCAAAAAAGCTAAATTATGTTCTATATAAATCCTTTTGAGCAGATTATAAAGTATGTAATACATTGTAGAAGCCTTCGTTTTAAAATAAATTTAGAAGTTACAAGACTTACAGAGGCAAACTTTGGTTATCTGGAAAATTCCCTTATTTTCCCAATATGTCAAAGAGTGCATGTGAAATGTCACTCCATAAAACTTTTCTTATTTTAATTTTTTTCTTTAAAAGGAGTGAGTTTTATATAGCAGACTAAACACTTTAGTATCAAGGTGAGGGGTGGTGGTGGGGTTAGGTCCAAATTCTTTCCTCCTCTTTATTGTCCTTCTCTTATTCCTTATCATCACGACCGTCCTCTTCCTCATCTCCTTCCATTTCCTTCTCTTTCCTCAGCTTTGAAAATTTTCACTGTAAGAGGTTTTTCCCGGTAGGCAGCCATATCCATTTCCATTTTCCCTTCTATTTTACCCTCCTCATACGGTGGCTGGCCAATTGCAGGAGTATTGTATATTTGTCTTCTCTGCAACCTTCCCCCTCAACCTTTCAGCCACGTTGCCAGTGGTTTCTTGCATTCGTGGGATGTACCAAAGCATACATACAACAGACAGCTAGAAAGGGTACCCATTACAACAGTTCTCCAAACCTTCAGTTCCATCTTCTATAATTATGCCTTTGTAGATGCATTTAGTTCATCACGCCTAAAATGGATTCCCTCTTAGCCCGTACCATTTCCTACCTAAACCTAACTTTGAACTGGTCTCTCTACTTTCAGTCCCTTCTCTCTTCAGTCAATCCTTTAAAGAGATTCCAAAATACTCTTTCTAAGGCATAAATCTGACCATGTAACTCCTCTATTAAAAACAAAACAAAAAAACCAAACAAATAAACAAGCAACAACAACCCAACCACAACAACAACCACCACCCAACCACAAACTTTCAGCCACCTACTGCCTCTAGGATAAAATGCAAAATTTTTTTTTACTCCCTTATTATAATCTTTTTTTAAAAAATTTTAAATCGTATTTCTTCTTTTTCTTCCAATTACCCATAAATTTTTTTTTCAACATTTAAAAAAAATTTTCAGTTCTGAATTCTCTTCTTCCTTCTTTCCCCTTCCTCCTCCCCCCGTCCCTGACACAGTAAGTAATCTGATATAGGCTGTATATGTGCAGTCATAAATAACACATTTCCACATCAGTCACTTTATGGAAGAAAACTTGACCCCTGAACCCCTCTGCCCCCCCCAAAAAGTGAAAAAGAGTATGCTTTGGTTTGCATTCAGACTCCATCAATTCTTCCTCTGGAGGTGGAAAGCATTTTTCATCATGAGTCTGCTGGGATTGCTTTGGATCATTGTATTGCTGAGAATAGCTAAGTTATTCACAGTTGTTCATCATACAATATTGCTGTTACTGCGTACAGTGTTCTCTTGGTTCTGCTCACTTTGCTCTGCATCAGTTCTTGTAAGTCTTTTCTGATTTTTCTAAAATCATCCCTCTTGTCATTTCTTATAGCACAATAGTACTCCATTACAATCATATACCACAACTTGTTCAGCCATTACCCCAAGGATGGGCATTCTCTTAATTTCCAATTCTTTGCCACCACAATAAGAACTGCTAGAAATATTTTCATATGTAAAGATCCCTTTCCTTTTTCTTTGATATCTTTGACATGCAGACCTAGTGGTGGTATTACTGGATCAGTTTGTTACTGCTTTGGACACTGTTGCAAGTGACTCTCCAGAAGTAGGTTCAAAACTCTACATTAGTTCCCAATTAAAATGTGAATTATTTAGCTTATCACTAAAGGTTTTTTACAACTTGCCTCTTACCTATTTCTTCAGTATTTTAAAGATAGTCAATAAGCATTCACTATGTGGCTGGCACTATGTTGTGTTGAGAATAAAAATATAACAAAAAGAAACATAGTTCCTGCCTTCCAGAAGCTTATATTCTAATGGGAAAAGACAACACATAAAAGGAAGCTGAAAATCTGGGTGGGAGGAAAAAGTACTTGTGCAGGGGCATGGTGGTGAAGCTTAAAGAATCAAGAGTAGAGTCAGGAAAGGAATGAAGGATGGTTGCTCTTGTTCCTTCCATAAAATGTAAGTTCCAGGAAGAATTTACCAATAAGAAGAGGAAGGGGTTTTGCAGTGGAGGGATTTTTAAGAGTAAGAAGGCAGTTGAGGCTTTTTTTTGATAAATATTTTTATTTTGAATTTGATTAATATTGATAAACATGAATCATGGAAACATTTCAATATATAAAGAAAAAACAAAAGGAAGACTGCATATTCAACTTGAAACTTCTGTTTTATACTTCAGACAGAGTGATAGATGTTAGCTTAGTTTTTTTCCCATTATGTACATCTTGGTTATTGTTTTTGTTTTGTACTATTCAAATTTAACATGGTAGTTTCAATACTGCTCTGCTTCTTTGTGTCCTCCTTCAGAACTTCTATTATAACATAAATTAATAATATAATAATTCTATTCTACGTTTATTTTCAATGATTCATTGATGTTCTTTTCTTCCCATTTCTGATTATACTCTCCCTACCTAATTAATCTTCTTTCTTAAATATTCCCCTCCAAAAAATGAAAAAAGCTCCCCTTGTAACAAATAAATAAAACAAATTCATAAATTGACAGTATCTGAAAAATGAATATGCCATTCTGTGCATTCCCTAGTGCACCACTGTTCTGCCAAAAGTTGAAAAACATAATTTATCATCAGTCTTCTGCAGTCATTTTGTTGATCCTAATTGTCAGGTCTTTCATAGATATCTTTCTTTATGAAGTTAAATTATCTTAAAAGTTTTTTCTCCTGTTTCTGCTCACTTTACTATGCATCAATTCGTATAAATTCTCTCAGGTTTCTCTGAAGCCTACCCTTCCATCATCAATTAAAATAGAATAATATTCATTCTTATACCATAATTTGTTCAGATATTTCTCAAATGTTGGCCACCTTTGTTGTTTCAATTTCATTACAACAACATGTACAATTGGGTCACTTCTCTCTTTCTTCAATTTCTTAGGGAGGATAAGCATAGAACCAAGGGATATGCACAGCTTAGTGATTTGGGGGTTTCCAAATTGCCTGAACCACTTTATGGCTCCACAAGCAGTGGACTGGGGTGTCTGCACTTCCATAGCCTCTTCAACAACTATCACTTTCCTTTTTTTTTTTTTGGTCACTTCTGTAAATTGTAGGAGTGAGATAGCAGCTCAGTTTTGTTATTGTACATTTGCCATAATTATTATAAGTTTGAACATTTCAATATAGTTCTTGATAGCTTGAACTTCTTTTGAAAATCACCTGTTTCTATCCTCTGACCATACATCTATTGTAGAATGGCTTTTGTTTATATATTTTTATCAATTCCTTTTATAACTCGGGTGTCAGAACTTTATCAGGGAAACTCACTGCCAAGATATATTTAATGTTTCCCTTAAATGTTAATGGTTTCCCTTTTAATTTTAACTGCATTGATTTTATCTGTGAAAAAAAAAACTTTTCAGGGGCCAGCTAGGTGGTGCAGTGGATAGAGCACTGGCCCTGAAGTCAGGACTTGAGTTCAAATCCAGCCTCAGACCAAACACTTGACACTTACTAGCTGTGTGACCCTGGGCAAGTCACTTAACCCCAGTTGCCTAAAAAAAACAAAAAAAAAAAACAAAAAAAAAACTTTTCAATTTCGTTTAATCAAAATTGCCCATTTTATCACAAGTGATCCTCTTTATTCCTACTTTGTTAAAGGACTATTTCCTTAACCACACTTGTCAAAGATATCTCCAAACTTTTTATTATATCATCTTTTATATCTATGTCTTGTATATATTTGGAATTTATCTTGGTATATGGAGTCAGACAAATTTGAAGTTCTCTACATATCTGAGATGAGACCTTTACCTGAGAAACTGTTGATAAAATTTTTTCTCAGTTTTCTGCTTTCCTTTTAATCTTGGATACATTGCTTTTATTTGTACAACCATTTTTTATATGTCACAATGCTCTCTATCTCTTATTTATTCACAAATTATTTTCCTATACATAAATCTGATAGGTAATGTTCTATTCTTCTTCTAATTAACTTATGCTACCTCCCTTACCTAGGTCATGTATCCATTTTGATCTTATCTTGGTAAATGGTGTAAGATAATGGTTTATACCTAGTTTCTGCTATACTGAACAATTTTTACCAAACAGTGAGTTCTTATCCCAAAAGCTTAAATCTTTACGTCTGTCAAACACAAGATTATTATAATCATCTATTACTGTGGATTATGTACCTATTCTATTCCACTAATCCACCATTTTATTGCTTAGTGATATTAGTTTTGATAATTACTGCCTTATGATACAGTTTAAGATCTGGCATAGTTAGATTTTCTTCCTTTATATTTTTTTTCATTAATTCCTTCGATATTTTTGACCTTTTCTTCTTTCAAAGGAATTTTATTATTTTTTTTCTAGCTCAATAAAATATTTTAGTAATTTAATTAGGATAGCACTGAATAAGTACGTTAGTTTAAGTACAATTTTCATTTTTATTATATTGGCTCAGCCCACCTATAGACATTTCTCCAATTATTTCAATCTGACTTTATTTGTATAAAAAGTACTTTATAATTATGTTCACGTAATTCTTCATACAGTGAAGAGTTTGAAGAGGTTTATTAAATTACTGGATGAAATAATGACACAGAGACACAAACCTACCAGCAGTTCAGAAGGTGTCTCACCTTATGATGCAAATTGTACTTCAACAATCTGCTCTCCCAGTGTGGGCCTACTCAGGGAAGATGCTCTTTGACCACAAGAATGAGACCCTGGCCATCACAGTCCAGCCTGGAGAGGGGAGCAAAGCTGCTTTCAGTGACATGCAATCTTTGTCCAGGGGAACGTTCTTTTTCAACCGTTTGTTTCATTTTTTCTTTATGGTCCATCGCAGAATCTCCCTTCAGATGCCTGGCTGAATTTGATGTCTACATGGATATGGTCAACAGAAGAAACACCATGGACATGATCCTTAAGGTGGCTGATTCCCAGAACTACCACAGTCCATCCTGCTCACATCACAGAACATGAGCTCTCTTCCCCAAGTAGAATGATTAGAATGCTCCAAATGCCAGACAAAGAAAAAGGCCAGAGAGCCCTGCCTTTCCAGCCAGCCAATCAAGAAGCAGAAGACCGAAGCTGATTTCTAGTTTAATGTGATTGTGCTACTGGCTTGTGATGGGATTGTACGGATTTTGTTTTCTCAAAGTGTTGTGTATAAAATTTCACTACTTTAAAGAAATAATATATGATAATTGAAAGTATTTCAAAAATGAATCTTCTTTGTTCCCCCTAATAGTAGAATGTAAATCTCACCTTGAATTATAAAGTGAACCATGAATTCCATTTCTTCTAATGTGTGGCCTTGAGAAACTGTAATGCTGTTAGGATTGGTTCAAAACCATTCCCTCTTTCCCAGGCTCATCTGTCTTATAAGAATTGAATAGATATTGCTGAATGTATATTTGCATGGGATTTATTTTTGCTCTTATGTTTGCAAAATTCCAATAAATACTTAAGAGCCTAAAAGTACAGCAGGCATACCACCAGGTATTTCACCTTGTCTATGATTATTTTAAATGAATTATCTGTTCCTATCTCTTCTTGCAGGGCTTTGCTGGTGATGATATAAAATGCTGATGATTTATGTGGGTTTATTTTATATCCTGCTACTTTGCTAAAATTATTAATTGTTTCAACTAATTTTTAGTTGAATCCCTAGGATTTTCCAAGTATAACATCACACTATTTGCAAAAAGAAATAGTTTTATTTCCCCACTGCCTATTCTGATTTATTCAATTTCTTTTTTCTTCTCTTATTGTTATTGCTAACATTTCTAGTATAATACTGAATAATACTGGTGATAAAGGGCATCCTTGTTTCACCCCTGATCTTACTGGGAAGGCTTCTAGCTTACCCCCATTACAGATAATGGTTGCTGATGGTTTTAGACAGATGCTTCTTAAGGAAAAAACCATTTACACCTATGCTTTCAACTGTTTTTAATAGGAAGCAGTATTGTACTTTTGTCAAAACCTGCTTTCATCTGTAGGCCACAGGTGGCAATGGATTTACCAAACATTATGCTACATATGTTCAACTATTTCTGGGTCTTCTGTACCTAATTTGTTCTAGTGATTGACTTTTCTGTTTTTTTCAAACTGGTACTAAATATTTTTAATGACTTATCAATAATCTATTTTTTGGTAGTATAGTTTGATTCCCAAAGCCCCTTTTCCTTCTCACTTTTTCCATTATTTCCCTTGAAATTCTTGACCTTTGTTCCTCCTTATAAATTATTGTTTTGCTTTGTTTTTTTCCCTAGCACTATATAAAGTAATCCTTTGGTAGTCTGAAATGGGACTGAATTTATAACATAATTTAGGTAGTATTTTCATCTTGTGGCATATTTTTGGCATGACCCAACCACGAGCAATTAATATTTCTGATTACTTTAAAGTGCTTTGCAACTATATATATAAATATATGTGTGTATAAAAAAATAAATAAAATTTCTCTGTCTTGGTAGCAGACCTCCCAGATATTTTATACAATCTCTAATTATTTTGTTTTTTATTTTTATTCTGAACTTAAAAACAAACAAAAAAAGATCATTTCTATACATACAGCAGAATACAAAAAGAACACGAAATAAATGAATCTGCGGGGTTTTTTAAAAAAAATGTATACAATAAATTCTACATGTTGCTTTAGGTAGCTAGGTGGTGCAGTGGTTAGAGTGCTGGGCTCAAAGTCAGGAGGACCTAAGTTCAAAAACAGCCTCTGAAACTTTCTAGCTGTGTTACCTTGGGCAAGACACTTAACCTCTATTTGCCTATGGGTCAGTGATCCACTAGAGAAGGAAATGGCAAACAACTCTACTATTTTTGCCAACAAAATTCTTCATGGACGGAGATTCACAGGGTCATGAAGAGCTGGACATGACTGAATGACTGAACAACAAACAGGATACTTTCAGGACTGTCTTACTTTTCTATATTTCCTTTTGAACTTCCTTTGTTCTTTTCTATGAATTTTTGAAAAACCTCACAATAAGTTCCTTTAAAAAAAATCACTATTGCTACCCCTCCTAAGCAAAATGTCCATGTCCAAAAATATATGTGTATTTGTGTTATTGCACCTTGTGTCCACCAGTTCTTTGTTAAAAGGTTTCGTGTTTCATGATAGGTCCCTTGGAAACACAGTTATTAAGCCTTTTGAAGTAATTATTCTTTACAATTTTACTACTCTTATATAAATTATTTTGGTTGTGCATACTTCACTCTGTATCAGTTCATACTACCCAGGATTATCTGAAATTATCTTTCATAATTTCTTACAGCAAAGTAATATTCTATTATCACAATTTGTTCTACCTTTCTCTAATCCAAGACACTCCGTTAAGTTCTACTTCCTCCCCTTTAATCTTTCAGAAAAAGTCTATCTTGATTATGACTATTCCATCCCTGGTATTATGTTCCCTTCTGCTTCCCCACCTGCACCCCATTCCATGCTTGTCTCCCTGTTGATGAGAATGGGAAGGGTAAGTTATTTTGGGTTCTAATTGTCTTCTTCTTTAATTTTGGTACTTGAATTAGTTTTGTCTAGATGTCTGTGGTATTTTTTTTTCGTTTGTTTAATGTAGGAGCTCTACATTTTGGTTATGACATTTCTTCGATTTTTAATTTTGGGGATACTTTCAGGAGGCTATTTTAAATGATAAGAAATCTGTGGGATAAAGAATTCTTTAGTTTTCAATCAAGATCTCTGATATCATTACTCTGGGGGTATAGATTAAAATTAGAACATCTTGTTCTTTAACACAAAAGGAATTTGAAAAAAGTTACTGGGGTAGAGAATATTTATGGAAATGAAGGTGAACAAAATGTATCTGTGGATGAGGCAGGTTCAATTTACTCAATTAAGTCATCACATCTTATCCCACTTGAAATCATCAATCAACTAATTTCAGTCACAGATCTTACATCAGAGATTCTTAACTGTTTTGGAGTCACGAACTCATTTGGTAAGCCAATGAAGACTATGGACTAAACTCAGAATAATGTTTGTAAATGCATAAGATAAATTACACAGGGTTAAAAAAAGATACCAGTTATACTGAAATACAATTATCAAAACAGTTAAAGCAAACAAACAAACTTCAGGGTTCCCAGGTTAAGAACCCCTGTCTCAGACAAGATGTGAGAAGCCTATTGACAGCCATTTGTTGAATGAAATGATTCCAGACAGGAAGTCTGTTCCAACTGGTTGAGGGATTTCATCACAACCTTTGGATCCTACATGAAAGTATTAACATTAGCTTGTAATGGGGAGTTATAGTAAAAGAGAGAGTGTTTCAATAAACCTTTAAGGAGGAACTGCCTGGGGAGTGAGTGCAAAGGATAGGCTTCAGCTCTGGCCTTGGCTTAGTCAGGGGTAGGGAACCTATGGCCTGGAGGCCACATGGGGCCCTCTAGGTCCTCAAGTGCAGCCTTTGACTGAATCCACACTTCACAGAACAAATCTCCTTAATAAAAGGATTTGTTTTGTAAAACTTGGGCTCACTCAAAAGGCTGTATCTAAGAACCTAGAAGGCCACAGGTTCTCCATTCCTGCTAGGTCTTTTCCTCCCCCTCCCTTTTGGATAGAGGATTATCTTGTGAGCTTCAAAGAATTCAGAGGATGATGGATTTCCCATCCACCTCCAATTGTCCTAGCAGCATTCTCAGCAGTATCTGTGTTGAGAAGCAAAGGACAGAATGGACAGAGTAATGGTTTCATAAGGAGCCCAGGAAAGAAACTATAGCATGATTAAGGGAAACTCTTTGAGCACCTTGTCAATGACAAAAAAGGATTTCAAACAACCTGAAGCTATAAGCTACCCCTTTGCCTTATATGCTATCTAAAGCTAAACTCACTTCCCTCAAGACTCTTCCATACTTGTGGGAAAGTGTGTCACAGCATTGGTGGTGGGAAGGATTGTATTAACTGACCTTATTGTACACTTTAGTAAATACTCCTTCCTAAGAGCTACTTAAGGCTGGCTGACTAAATATTTCTTATTTTCTCAAGGCAGAAAACTACTAATATTAAGTTAAAATATTTTCTTTTTGAGAAAAAAGCATATCCTTCATACTTTTTTGCAAAGTACTTATATTTATGTATCTCTCCATTGTCCTTTGAGTGCTCCATATTTTGATTCTACTTTTGAGATGATGGTGCAATGGACAGCAGAATTGTAGTTAGAGAGATTAACTTCAAATTTACTCTCTGACCCTTAACAGATGTGTAATATTGGGTATTTAACCTCTCTGGGTCTTAGTCTTCTCACCTGTAAAAATGAGAATGTTGCTTTGTATGATCTCTAAACTATGACTATATAAAACATAAGATACATAATTGTTCCTGTAAATTAAGCTGAAGCCAGAAAGGATCACTTTTCTAAGGCATTTAGGCAGCCTGCTGAGTACCCTACCTCTTCCAAGCAAGTTCCTATTTAGTTAATGGGCAAAAAAAGTTTTTAGGATCAGCCAATAATTTCATTCAGAAAAATGAATCCCACATATAATTGGACATCCATGTTATGTGCCCCTCAGTAAACTTCATCTGAAAGAAGAATTAAGCTCCTTTGTCTAGTTTTGTTTGGAAGCATGTTTATGGAAATGGAACTATGGCCTCCTAAAAATTATATACCATGGTTCCACATAAAACACAAAATTGCAATGGCAGGTAGTGCCACTGGAGTGAAATGCTTTCTGGGATTTTTGCATACACTTCTTAGAGAGACATGCACTTAAAACTCAAACACAGAAACAAAACCAGAGTGAAAGTCATAAAGTGGGGTTCAATTCAGATGTACACTTCAAATTGTGTGGGCTGGGGGCATTTCTTATTAAAAGACATGAGGAGAAAAACACATCCAATGAATTAAAAGCCATTTGTTTACTATTCACAAATGGCATAGATGACTACATTATAAAAAGAAACAGATGTTCTATACAGAAGCAAGAGTTCAAAGGTCATCATAGCACTGTATCTTGATGGCAATGTAACATCTCCTGCTCATTCCTAGAAGTAGTCAGGTAAAACCAAGTACTTTTCATGCAAAATTAAAAGTGAACAAGCTGCTTTCTTTCCAGGAAGCTACAAATAGTGTCCCTTTGCTTATGTAGCAATTGATATGGCAAACTTATATACTCTGATAGGCAGTAGCCTAAACTCCCACCTGCCAATTTATAAAAAAACCACCATTCCCTAATTAGGTCTTTTTTTCCCCTCTTCCCAAGGTAACAAACAAAGGAGTCACAATTTGGGAGCGGGGAAAAAAAACTCCTGCCTTACTTTCCTCACCTGAAAAAATGGAGGTGTTAGAAATTCAGGACTGAAAAGGAACTTAAGACATCCAACTAGTTCAATCATCTGATTTTATAAGTGAAAAAAGGAAATCCAGAAATTGAACTGATGTGGGTCATATAGTTAACTAACAGAGGAGCCAGAAGCAAATCCCAGGTCTTCTGATTCCTAGCCCTGTGTTTTTCAGTACTCATAAAATGAGGAACTCATATGAAAATTTGAGTTATTATAAAAGGGTAAAGTTTGGATTAGGAATAATTTCATT